GCACCCGTGTCTCTTGTCTGGTGGCACCGCCCCGGACTGACAATGAGGGCGGTGGCCCAGGCGAGGCGGAGCGGGGAGAGGCTCGCGGTCCAGGTTCCTTCCCCCGTTCGTGCGCTGGCGCGTCGGGCGACGCTGTCGTTTGAAAGCCATCACCTCGCGACGGAGCGCCTGCTGCCTGTAAAATTAGCTTCGTTTCATGCTTCAGTACCTTTGAAAGATTTTAGGATGAATGCGTTTGTATTTGTGTGTGTGTGTATATATAAACCCACAGATGCACAACAGAAAATATTAAAAATGCGGCGGGTTTTTTTTCTCTCTCCCTCTCCTGGGAAAGGAAGGATGGTTACCGACACAGATCAAGGCCAACGCTTTGCTTGATCGTCGACAACAAAGGGTTATTTTTGGGGGAACGTTTTTTTTAATGTTATAAATTTCAGTTCTAACCCCATAATTAAAGCTCATTATCGAGCGCTACAAAGGCAGCGGATGCGTTCGTTTCTGCTGCGTTCGCTGCTTCGAAGACAAATCATTATCTTGTTAATCGACACACCCCCTCCCTTCCTGCCCGCAATGAAGGGAGCGGGGACTCGTGAAGTTATTTGGGGTTTTGTTCCCATACCGGTTCACGAAGCTGAACGCATCGCAAATTGCCCCATCGCGCGACCCCTTTCGCGCGATGCAAGCGGCGGCGATAAACGCGCATAAAAACAAAAAAATACGCGAGTAGCCAAAATCCGTCGGCACCAATATACAACCGCGATCGGGATTCGCACGGCGTCGAGATGCAACCGCCAAATCGATACGTGGCACGTGACGACGGCACGTGGGTCCGCGCCCTGAGGCAACGTTGTGTGGAGCCGTTTAAGAGGGAAAGAGACGTGGGTCTTAGAAGAGGAGGAGGGACGTCCTTAAGCCTGGATTTCAAACAAAGGGCATGTGATCATGGGACCTCTCTTGCCAGTATCAAAATATAAGATTAGAGGTGCCATGATGTTGCTGCTCATCACCGCGCTCTCAATGTCCTGATAGTGGCATTGTCCTTGTGCTGTTCTCCTTGTGGCGTCCTCTGGTCTAACACTGTTTGAGACTAGGCTCTAAAGAAAGCCGTCTCTGGTGTGGACCAATCAGTTTCAAAAACAATGCATATACTACCAGAGCATGTTTTGTTGTTGTTGCATGTTCACCACAAGCATATGTGGTTAATGCAGACATCATTCCTCGCAAAAGGTTTCAGTTTGGTCTTTAAACATCTGAACACAACTGTTTAATCGCCAGAAAGGGTACAACCTATTCTTATTCTTAGGTTTTTTCGGTAAAGTCACGTAGGTAAAAATAAATAAAATTAAATAATAATAAAAATAACAGAAATATAATAGAAATAAAATAATAAATCACGACTTTTCGGGCGCAACACAAGCGTCCGTCATCAGGTGGGACAACCACGGCACGAAACAAATGTTGAAGTGGCCCTCTTCAGCATTTATTTTATTTCTATTATTATTTCTATTATTTTTATTATTTATTTGTTACCTACGTGACTTTACCGAACAAACCTAAGAGTGCGAATCCTTGCAGTCACGAAAGCTTCAAATCTAGAATTAACCTAGGGCAAGGGAGTCGTCAGCGCTGATGGCTGGCTGGGGGGAAGGGAGAGCCAGACAGACTACAGGGTCAGTGGAGGATAAAGAGCGACCTGCCGTTGAGCGGCCGCCTGATTGTGTAAGCTTTTACGAATGCGATATGCAATCACACCGAGAGCTTGCCCTGCGATAGAGAATACTCCAACCGTTGCTGAAAAAATATAATAGAGGCAAAAAAACACAAATATAACATTGAGCTTTGCAGACTGCACTGTTGGGGCTGCCATGGTACACGAGGTGGTGACGACATCACCACGTGTTGTAATTTTCCCCCTCTCACAATTCAATGAATTGTTGAGATTCGCGTGAAGAATTATGATTTTTGGTTTGTTTACATTCTGGTAGTTGCAGGAGGTCACGTGAACCTCATCACATGCACCATATACAAATGAAAAAAGTCAATTCTTATCGGATTAATTTGATGCATGTACTGTGAGCTTAAGAATCGATCTAAATCGATTCATTTATACAATCCATTGGACACCACTTTATTTCCTAGTGATGATGTCAACACACGGAACCGGATACTCATTTAAGCCTGAGTCAATGGAGGACAATTTCAGATATCACTTTCCACCGATGCCTTCCATCGACGACCGACTGTTGACCCTAGATCGCTGGGCTGTGATGCGGTTTCCAAACCATTGAAGCAGTTAGAATCATACGATGTCTTTATACTGGAGGAATCCGATGACCTATAAAGCACTTTTTCACAGATGTCCAATAAGGGCAGGTCATAACGTCGGCTTGCCACCTTCTACACTGCAAACCAAACCTGGGACATATTTAAAAGTCAGCACGAGGTCTGTTATCAAAAACCGTGCAATATTCTCCGATAAATTTCGATTTAGTTCAAAATTCAACACAATATCGGTACCAGATCTCGGTACAAACCTAAACTGAAAATTATTGAAGCTAAACTATTTTAATAATAATAATAAAAAACAATTCCTGCCACCCGGACACAAATGCCAATTCCTGGACTGCCCGGGGTCAAAGTTGGATGGGTGGCAAGTCTCGAGAGGAGGAATACCCCCGACACAGCGGCCAGGGCTCCTGGGCTTGCGGATTTATTTTGATTTTTCTCGGCGAGCCTCGGGGAAGCTCCGTTAACGTGAACGTGACCACCGTGCGTCTGTGGACAGCAGTGGCTCCTTCCCACTGCTTCCGTGCACCATTTTGGGTTTTGCAGTCACATTTAGATGCATCGTCGTCATCATCATCAGCTAGGTTGTATCCGCTGCTGGATGAAGACCTTCAAACATAATTGCCTGCCACCATCCGTCTCGCTCCTGCACCTGCGCGTGAAGCGATTTCACGCTCCATCTCCGCGGTGACCATCTGCTTGGACGCGTTCTCTCCTTCGGCTGCCATTCCATCATCAGCCTCGTCCATTGACCATCATCCCCACCCGGCAATGTTGTCCTGCCCAAGCCGATTCGCTTTTCTTGATTTTCAATGCCGTGTCTCCCATTTGTTGTTGGTCTCCGAGCCTTGTGCCGTTTCCTCCTCCTGTTCTCTCAGCGTAATTCCAGGCGCGCACCTTTCACCACGCTTCTCCGCATCCATTTTCAGACTTTCCTATAAACATTTCATTGCGCCCGTAAGAACGTTGTTGCATCCCCCCCCCGCGCCCCCCCCCGCCCCCCCCCCGCCCCCCCCCGCCCCCCCCCCTGCCCCCCCGCCCCCGGCTCTCTGGCTCCGAAAACGACAGACGCTTGTGTTGGTGCGCTCCGATTCACACGCGGAACCCCAAGGGGCTTCGATCCTCGCACTGGGAAATAAACAAAAGCTCGCACGGTGAAAATATATTACACACACACACACACACTAGTTAGACGCTATTAGACTTCAAAGTTGCCTCTCCGGGAAAGGTGTAGACTGTGAGTGTGCGCGTGCAATTGTCGCCTCTGCCAAATATACCGAGCGGCAGTGTAGCGGTTAGCGAGCTGCACTACTACGAACCTGGCGACCCAAAGTTCGATTCCCGCTCACGGCCAACCACCAGTGACGATTTTCTGAACTGGTCCTGGGCCTCGCCGACTCAGTCTGAAATGAGTACCTGGTGTGGTGTGTAAACATCGCTCACTGGGGAGACAAAGGCGGTCGGGCGCGGTGCTGGCCACCCACCCCCTCGTGTGCCGTGCCGGTCTTCATCGGCGCTGCTAGCTAATAGCACTTGCCCCAACAGTCTGTTAAGGCTATACGTCGGGGGGGGGGGGGGGATGGGTTCTTTGTCTTTGTGTACCTGCAATTGTCGCCTCTGCCAAATAAACAAAGACGAGGGTGGCCGGCGCGACGCGAGACGCGAACGCTGCGGCGCTGCGGCGCTGCACCGCTGCGTCGTTTGCGGTCCTCGCCCCCCGTTCTGTGGATGCGTCGTGCCCAGGCCCAGGGCCGCTGTGCTGTGTGCTTCCCTTTATATACACAGGTAGTCCTCTACTTACGACGGAGATGCGTTACGACGACCCCATCGTAAGTAGGACCGTCGTAACTCGGGGACTACCTATATAAAACCGCTGCAGAACATTTATAAATAAATAATGTGACAATCTTAAAAAAAAACCACAACAACATATGCACGCCAGGCTCTTAATTTTCTTGCAGGCATGCCAGCTGTTGTGGTGGGGGAGAATGGGGGGGGGGTAGGGTGGGAGTCGGGGTTTGGTGGTGAGATTTTTTTTGTCCTCGTCCGCCCGTGTGCGACACGCAGAACCGTGCCGCCTAAAGAGGAAAACGGGCCCAGGTGCATCCATAGGCGGCGTTGACGGGACGCCGTAGCTGACGGACGGCGGGAGTCACGGAGAGCGGAGGCCGGATAGCACCGAGTCGGTTTTCGCGGCCGTGCTGTATCGCTGCCAGGCGCGGCTTCCAAGTTGTACCGCGCGCGTCGTTCTGAAGGAGCTCCCAGCACGTCGCGCAAAAACGTCGGACATCGTGCTGAACAACGCGCGGCACGACTCGAGAATGCATCGGAGAGAGAGATAGAGCTGGAGAGCGGAGAGCCTGCATTTGAGTGAGGCACAGCGATTGCAGTCCCATTCTTGTCGTGGTACGGCTGCTGCTGATGTAGGTGCAGAGCAACGAGTCCGAGTTCACATTGAGGTGGGTCAAGCCGGCAGACAACCGAGTCAGGAGCAGCGGATGGTATCGCTGTGATGTCTCCTTTTGCATTGCATCGTTATGCGTTGTACGGTGTGTTCTGGACGACCACAGTTGCACACGACTCCTGGAGAGTTTTAAATGTTTTACGTTTGCGCATCGGGTATCCGCATTCGTGGAAGAACAAAAACCGCGGAAACTCTGAATTCAGTGAAACCTCGGTGAAAGAACAAAAAAGAGAAACTGACCAACAGTGGGTGGGGTTTGTTTTTTGGGGGACTATAACATTTCACCATTTTAATGTCGATTAAATGGCAATACACAGAGGCCGAAGCATATTATAGTTGCAAACAGATCGTATGTATTCAACAGCTATTAAAGAAAAGCACTTTTCAAGTATGCCTTCAAAAGGATACCGTGTGTTTCTATCTTCAGCTACAAACTGAACATTGATTTTTTTTTTACATTTAGTTTTCTAGCAAGATTTTAAAAAGTGTATTAAATGTTTTTATTCTTATTTTATTTAAAGAGTACAAAAAACCCCAATACAGGAGATACACTTGGGTAATAATATCAATTAGCGAATGAATCAAATTAGAACATTTTCGTATACTGCAGCAAAAAACATAGGGGCGAGGGAGGAGGGGGGGGGGGAAACCTTTAAAATATAAAATGTTCGTAACTAAATCACGAACTTCCTAGCGGTACGGAAAGGAGGTTTAATCAGGGGTAACATTCGGATGCACACAGCTTCATGCGCACTAAAGCAAATCTACACAGTTGATTATTCGGGACGAGAAAAAAAAACCAACGAGAAAGATCTGATCGTGACGGGGGGAAAAAACACAAAATCGAAATAAAATATCGTCGTATGTATGTGCGCGTGCGTACGCGCGTGCGCGTGCATGTCAGTGTGTGTGTGTAATGTGCTAGCGTTAATCACCGAATGCTGCCGACGAGCTCGTGGGCCCCCTTTAGTGTGGTTGTTCTCCCAGTGTCGGCCAGACATTTTGCGGACGGACTTGTTGGCCTGACCCCCGTGAAGACGTTCCGTGGCCGGGCACGGCGCAGGGGGGGGGGGGGGGGGCGTTCAGTTCGATCCTCCCTTGCTCTTGCCCTCCTTGCCCTTCTTTTTTGACGCTGCGTGAACGACGGGGAGACACAAACGGCAGGAGCGCTCACGATTAGACGACCTATGTATGTTGGGGGTTACGGTCAATTCTTTGTCGGAAAATATAATTTTTTGTTCAGCGAACGTTAATTCACGCGACTTCCCACAGGTCAAAACACCAGATATATAATACAAATATATACAGATAAATACATAAATGTTCTCCGAGTGGACGTCTGCCCGCATTGCCACAGAACCCCTTCGAAGTCTCCTCCGCCAGCACTTGCAGGGCAACCAGCCAATGGCGGAGCCAGGGTTTTCAGGTAGGGGGGGGGGGCAACCCCTCCAGCAATGAAAAATGATAGAGGAGTTGTTAGTAAGTAAGGACTTGTCCCTTGCTTTTTATTCGACGCGTGTGCGGCGATGTGATCGGCATTGCGCTCGCTGAAGGTGTTTGCCTTCAGGGAAGTCGTGTACTGTATGCGTAACTGCGCACAATTCTGAGTCACTTATAACCGCTTTGCCGTTACTTATTGCCAATTATGAACTCAGACTATTGTCATATCATCTAATAGAGTCCTTGGCACATAATAATATGCTGCACAGTGGCAGTGGGGTTCGCAAAATGCCGATTTATTACTAATAAACCCCAATGATTTGATCGAAATTAGGGATTTGATCGGATCATTCGGAGGGGGCACGTGCCACCTAACCCCCCACTGGCTCCGCCAGTGCAACCAGCTCACCCGGCACGCCCTGACGCCACTGCACGGCCGAAGACGATGTCCGTCAATGGTCTCCTGCTTCCCACACGCTAACGTTGATAATGACGCTTCGTAACACACAGTCCCCCAGTAAACTTGTTCAGATGTCGTTTTTGCCACCGGCGTTTGCCGCAATTCCTCGTGGGGGCGTGCAAGCTACTTGCGGTTGGTGAAGATTGGGAACAAGGCCCAGGTCACTGCGGTCGTTGGCGGTGAACTACTGCACAACCAGTCCACTGGTAATATATCTCTCTCTGAATAAACGAACAAACACGTTGAATATGTGAAAAACTAAGAATGGGGTTTTAGCCTCTCTGCCAATAAAACAGGCGACAAGATGTTCAAACACCAGAAGGAATTATATCTGCATTAACCAGACGTGCGTGTGATGAACATGCAAACAAAACATTCTCTCATAATATATGCATGTATTATGCAGACTTGATACCTTGAAAAAGGTATCTAGTTTGTGTTTGAACATCTTAACACCCGTTTTATTGCCAGAGAACGTAAAACCTATTATTATTATTTTTCATACTTTGAAACTGGCAAAAACGTCCCATGACACATTCACTATAACGCAAAACAATATCTATCAATGCTATGAACCCCATTTAGTGAATTGAATTAAATCTTTAATTCCATCAATTAAATGACAGCGAACGCTCATCTCGACCCATGGCTCAGATTCCCCCTCTTGCACACCGCAAAGAACAATCCGACGAAACCATCTCACCGCAGTGGACGCTGCGTGGTTCGTACTGCCCGAGCTGTAAGCGCAGGAGAATTCACGCTGGGAGCGGCCCCAACAGTGGCCAGCACGGTCGGCCACGTATGGCGCAAAAGAAGTTCAACGTATGTACGTTTGGCGCGGCGGTCCCTCCCCTCTCGGGCTACGTCCGCCTGGCTACGTTCGCTTTGGGCAAAAAAAAAATGTTCCTCTCGTGAACACGGGGGCAGACTTTGGAGCGATCGAGAGAGGGGTCACTGGTGAGGGGTCAGATTGCAAATAAGGTGGCGGTTTTTCGAATTTGTGCTCACAGTGGGGGGGGGGGGGGGGGGGGGGGGGGGGGGGGGGCACGTCGGACAAATCTCTGAGCCGCTGTGAGACTCCGTGGAGCTCGTGATTCATTCTCTCCGTCTTCCCTGGACACGTAACAGGAACGTTCCAGATTGACTCGAGGCCACGGGCGTTCAAAGGTCATTTACGCTGGATAAACAGATGCATGCAAAGCAGTTAGAATGTCGTGGTGTTTACCGCGCCGCCCACATGCGCGCGCGGAATCTGCATTTTGTTGCAAGCAAAGATTTACGGTCGCGTAGTTTCACGACGAATGCTTTGAGCGCGCTATTTACATCCACCTGAAGATTTTTTTCTCTTAAAAGACGGACATGATTACTTAAAATTGCCACTGGGCGGGACAAAAAATACGAGCGGATTTTTATTAGAGATTTTTTTTTACGGCATAAATGTAACGCGCAAGATAAGTGGCGGAGGCGACACGCACGCGCGCGCGCGTAAAAAAAAAAGATTAAGAGGCGCCATTGTTTAAGGTTCATCTTTTAGCGTGGGACTGGCATATATTTATATATTTGCGGGCGACGATTTATGTACGTGGCAGGGAAAAGAACAATGCGTTCCCGTGTGCTGACGAAAAACCGCAGCAAGCAGGGAGCTGGGGTTATAATCATTATGATGCTCAGGCAGCCGCTTAAGAGACCCACGCACTTCATTTCAGCTGGGTCTGTCTCGTTTGGCGACCCAAAAGATATTTCCCTACCCAGCACACCACATCAAGTATAGCTCTCGCCGCGGCCGTGGTTGCTATTAGTGACATGCCACCTATTCCAGTCTACCAGTGTTTGCCTGGTATTTGTTTAAGTCTGGACAATAATAAGAATATATTACAGCCCATTGTTATGCCACTGCTCGATTGAGGCCTTGTTCTTTGACCGTACTTTCACCATCCTGGTCAGTGCAAGTTGATGAAGGGACAAGACAAATTCAGATTTCACTTGACATAAACCTTGGCAAGGGAATCGAACTCGGATCGCTGGGTTTGTAGTGCAGGCAGCGCGCTAAAACCGCTGCACCACCGCTCCCCTGGCATTGATCGCACGTGGGTATGATGCCAAGATATTCTAGAATCACAGAGCCACCCTTCGATTTTGCGGTCTGGTGGTGATGTTGTTGTTGTTGTTGTTTAGACATCTGCTTGTGTAAGCAAGGCATCACGAGTGATGAACATGCTCGTGAAGGTAATGAATCATCTCAAGCATCTCTCGGTGAAGTCGTCAGTTCAGCAACGTATAGCGCCCACCGCCGGATGGAAATTTAAGCCATTTTTCAAATCACGTTCCATTAACGATGACAACTTACACGGAAATGTGATATATTAATTAAGTTTATTTTTCCCCCATAAATAAGTAAAATTTAATTAAAACGTGCGCTTGCATTTTGTGAAAAAAAAGGAAATTGTGTGAGCTCAGGTGTGGGATTATTTGTTACATCTTACAAAGTATCTATTATTCAACAATGATCACGATCACAACCATAATTTCCTGGACAAGCAGAGATTATTAATGTTGTTCTTGTGATTATCAGTTGTTTAAAAAGGTATTCCCACTGATAAGGTTAATATGTCAATCAATACGTGCATGGATTTCGCACAACACATCGTTACGTCAAGGATTGATTTTCGGCGGCGCATTAGACATAACGGCAATTCCCCCAAGTATTTAGACACAAACGAAATATCACCATCCGACACATTAACCACGCTCAGTGAAAGGAAATAAAACTGAAATGGAATTAAACAAAAACCTCCAGCGACTGCTATTTACCAAATGATAATGAGCCCCCCCCCCGAAATCCTAGCAGGGGCAAAAAAAAACAACATTTAAAAAAACGAGTAAAAAGCGTGATTTGCGTAAGGCCTCCGTATCGAGGGACCACAGAATCTTTCATCCCAGAATTGTCACGCTACCACCTGCAGCTCGCTCTCGCAGTCTAATCAGTGGGTAATTTTAAGTTGTATCGGTGCCCCTAGGTGCGCGTGTGTGTGTTTTTTTGTATTCTATTTGCGAGGCTGAATGAAATCCTGAGCAGTCTTATTAGCTCAGAAAAAATTGCCGCTGGCTTGCAGACAACTGCGCGTTGAGATAGGATTGTTGTGGCAAACCTCGAGTAATCACTGGGGGGTTTTTATTATGAACGTGGCCGGGGTGCGCTCATGGAGCCGAGCACCAAAACCAGCAACCACCAAAACCCGGGTTCAAGCCCTGTCCAAAACGTGTTCTTGTGTTCACTGAGAATGGTGGCATCAATCGAGCCTATTCATGATGGGCGGAAGAACAGCAATGAGCAATTACGTAAAACAAATGTGGTTGCAATTAAATTCGGCCCAGCATCGTGGCGGACACGAGGTGGACGGGCCCAGAGTGAATTGATCATCGAGCAAAAATGGGAGAGTTCGTGTGTTGCGATTGTCGACAGAGGAGACGGTGCTTCTTCAGGGGCAATCAATGGCCACTCTTCCTGTGTGCCAGAAGTCACGTGACCCACGGTTACTCTGTGCCACGATGCTGATTGCATTCGTGGGATGTGCAAACAAAAATGTGAAGAAAGGACACGTGCAATAAGTGCATGTATGTATGTACATATGCATATCTGAATAACCAGGGAGTTGGCATAGTAGGGGGGGTAGGTGGTGGCATCGGCCAGTCATCTTAGTCAGTCAACCAATGGCATCTGGGTCTGTCCCATGACCTCCTGTGAGCCGGCGTTCGACACTTCACATGGCCTTCAAGTGCACATAGTCTGGCACAAGCACGTGGTAACATCACTGCCACTTAGTGTCGAATGGCGGTTGTTGTTGTGTGCATATTTAAACTCACGTATAAAATAATACGTATAAAGGCCAAGTCGAGGTGAAGAGGTCATGAGGGCCAATGCCATTGATGCCACCACTCCTCGCCTTGGCTTTCTTCTGTCAGATCCCGTAGTTGTTAAGTCGACATCTTCAGCTCAACAACCGCTCTCACAATCTCATCTCATCTTATCAGGATTTAGGTCTTCTCTTCTGCTTGGTCACCAGCCTCTGGTAACCACTCCAAATACTTTCCTCGGCCATCTGCACTCCTCCACCTTGCACACGTGTCTTATCAATGACAACCACCTCTTCCTGAATGCATCCACGATGCTTTCCTGCCACATTCTTTCATGAACTGCGAAAATATCTTACCCTATCCTTCCATACAATGTATAGCGTCCTTTAAAAGTCACCTCTATTGAAAGGTGTCCTTTCTACGAGCAGTTAAAGGCTGAATGCATACAAATGGGATTCGTCGCTATCATCATCAGCCATGATCAATAAGGTCACCCCAAGCCAACTCCATCTTTCACAGTCTTCCAATTTAACAATCCACCGAGCGCTTAAGCTAATATCATAGCTAGAAATGTAGTGACTGCCTATAACAGTAATATTAGTTACGATTGTAATCGGAACTAAAATGTCTGAATAATTATTCACCCAAAAAAGCCTCTCTGAGTCCCAATACTTTTTTCAGGTGGGTCCTGCTGTCAGATTTTTGGACAATTCCATGAATATGAATTTTTGTTCAACTGGGAGGAAATCGGACAACACGCAGCACTCATACGTATGTTGAAATTCTTTTTCACCGTTTTGTGCTAATCAGAGGTGCATACGAGTGGGTGACACTCAGCCTTGCCATGTCCTAGCCACCTCGCAGGTCCAACCTGCAGTACCTGGCAAGCCCTGGAGGTAGTCACCCATCCAAGTACGAACCAGGTTCAACCCCGAGCTTTGCTTCTGAAATCTGACAAGATCGGGCATACTGAGGGGATCTGATCATAGCAGGTAAAGTCAATCCCTGCCCAAGTGGCACCATAGTTGTTTTAGTCACTGAAAGTGAAAAAATCCAAAGAGCGTAAACATCCGATGGCAATCTGGGAGGTTTATACCTACGTGACTTTACCGAAAGAACCAAAGAGTATGGATCATTGCAGTCACGAAAACTTCAGATCTAGATTGACTTAAAGTGGTTTAAATGTGCAAAAAACCTCGAAGATGCTGGAAAGTCACTTTCCACTTTGAAGGTAGGGCAAGTGACGTCTTCATCTCAGACAGCACACTCGGCGCAGCGCTTGCAAAGTTTGGACAGTGTGAATTAAAATGTCAAATCAACCTAGCATGAGCTTCATTTTAAAGCCCTGTCATGTATTAATAACATAACATAATAGAATGAGTGCCCTGATCCCAGCTGTTATTATTTTGAAATATAAATTAATAATGGCGAGGGCACGAGAGTACTTTCAAAAACCTGCTGTCCTCCAAAATAAAAGTCATTCTTGTGGCCTCAGCTCCGTCAGCTATTGCAATACTTTTGATATGCATAATAATTACTTTTTTTACAAGCAAATACATAAAGAATGCATATATTTAAACAATTTTAAACACTTTTTCTTATATTACCAGGTAAGGCTCACTGAGCTACTACATAGCTCTTTTTCAGAAGCGACCTGGCCACATGATACCCCAACGAAGTGGCTTATCATCGCATGTAAATTTATGGGCGCCAAATACTATAAACGCATGTTTCTAAATGCCGAGGGAAAACACCTGAGAAGCATGAGAAAGCATACACTTTTACGGTACGTGAAATGGAAAGGTAAAAGCGCAGCTCTGCAATTGCTCGCTCGTACCACTGCTGGCGGAAGGGGGCCTCCACTAGAGGGAGCTCTAGATGGCCCTTAAAGAGGATTTGTTTTGGCCTACTCTTCCACGCTGGCGAGACATCTTGGTTAGAGGTGAGAGTACCCACACTATACACCACCGCACACAACATTTTCGTGAGAATCTTGCATTTGGATGTTTGGCAAATTATGGTGGATGAATATTTGGATAACTTTGGCAGAAAACCCAGTAGGCTTCACACATCCACTTGACTGAACTCCCATCTCCGGGCCTTACCTGTAGCCCGGAGGATTTTGGAGTTCCACAAATCTGTTCCTTTTTATTATGCCTTCCAATTGTGACACCTGCATCATGTGACAAGATGAAGAATCCACGAGCACGTCTCGTAGAGCAGTGCAGCACACCGTGTTAGAAAATGGTCTGCAGAAGCAGATATCGCAGAACGACTTCTGAGATCCATTCAGGTGACCTCTTATCCACAGGAGGGGGCAGCACATTCCCACCCACCCTTCTGCAGCGAGTGATGTTTGTCAATGAGAGTCCACGCGATATTTTAGATTTGTCAGAGCTAGAATTTAGGAAACGAAGCACGAAAGCAAATCTAAGCGCGATGTATTTCCTGTGCAATTCTCGGTGACTGGGCTGAGACCATCAACTCACTGCGCTGGAGAATCCAAATCAAACTCTCACCGTTTGTCGGATTCAAACTCACGACCGTGGCAGTTCCAAGTCAGCGCTCTGACTTCCTAGCCACCCGTCCACCTCCTGAGTGTCACACATCTCTACGTGATCCATCAACCCCTGCTTCCAAAGCGCCACGGTGGCGAGATGTTGACTCCCTCGCCTAGAATGCAGGAGGTCGTGGGTTCGATTCCAACCCTGACGCTTGTATATTTGGAGTTTGCATGTTCTCCCCGTGGTCGGGTGGATTTTTATCCGGCTTCTCTGGTTTCTCTCCTCCACATTTAGAATGAAAATTTAGAGTATTTGGCTGCTATAAATTTCGACGTGATGAGCCACTTCGTTGAGCTGTCATTTTGTAACAGCCAGGTCGCTTCTTAAAAAGAGCTATATAGCTCAGTGGGCCTTACGTGGAAAATTAAAAAAGGTGTTTAGTTCAGTTTCTGGATCACATCGCAGTGCATCACTGAACCCTCCATATTTCAAATGACGAGACGCATGAGCCGTTGGTTGAGTGGCCGACGGCATTTCACCAGCGGTGACCGCGACCCTCACCTTTAGCCTTGGACTTGCCCCTCTTGCCGCATGGCTTTGACACGGTCACCTCCTGCTGGCACTCGGCGTTGAAGATGGCCTTCTTCAGGGCGCCCTGGCGAGTCTTCATCTTGGTGGTGGCGTCACACTCGCCCCAGTTCTGCCAGCGGTACTTGCAGTCGGCTGCGGGAGAACGTCAAAATAGTGAGAGCCGATCAGTCCGGCCTGAGACGGCGGCTCAATGTCTCATCCCCCGGGGAGTGTGTGTCAATGTGTGTGAATGTGTGTGTGTGTGAATGTGTCAATGTGTGAATGTGTGTGTGTCTGTGGGGAGCGACAGTGTAGTGGTTAGCACGCTCAGCTACAATCCTGGAAACCCGGTTCAATTTCCGCTCACGGTCAACACCAGTGATGATTCCCCAAGGTAGACTCAGCCACCACACGTTAATACATCTGGTACGATGTTTAATTTTCAGCCCTGCGGCGACAAAGGTGACCAGGAGTGGTGTTGGTCACCCACCCCCATCGCATGCCGTGCCGGCCATCATAGGTTCTTGCTGACAGCACTTGTCCCAACCGGCAGGCGAGGCTACATTGGCTCGGTCACGTAGCCCACATGCTCAGCCACCACACGCCCAAACAGCTTTAGCCAAAAAATGATGGTGCCTCCGACACCAGGTCCACACTGACCGGCGTGGTGAAGTACGGTCAAACAACCCCCGGGACTGACACTGCATTGGGAGGCCATCATCCAGCAGTGAATTGATTAAAATATCGAAGGGTGCCGCGGTGGCGAGACGTTGACTCCTTCGCCTGGTATGCAGGAGGTCGTGGGTTTGTCCCGACCCTGACGCCTGCTGTATATTTGGAGTTTGTGTGTCTCTCTCTCCGTGGTTGTGTGGATTTTTTTCCGGGTCCTCCGGTTTTCCCCTCCACATTTAGAATCAACGTCACACGTTTAGAGTATTTGGCTGCTATACATATCCTCATGAGAAGCCAATTCGTTGAGCTATCATTTGTGGCCAGATCGCTTCTGAAAAAAAACAGCTATACAGCTCAGTGGGCCTTACCTGGTAAAATAACAAAAACACGCACATAGGAGTAAATTGCCTCGTAAAAATATACAATTTTACTTTTGAAGCATCGGCCGTTCCGAACGGTCATACAGAGGAGCGTGAACCGAGAGCGGCGCTCACCTCCGAACGGCTTCTTCCAGTTGCACGGGATCTTGCACTGCAGGGTCTTGCTGGTCTGCTTGCACTCGGCACCGCCGCGGGTGCCGCCTCGCGTGCCGGGCCCGCAGTCCAGCTGGTTGGGCACGCAGGCGCCCCACTTCCACTTCTCGCAGTCCGAGTCCAACTTCTTCGCCTTCTTCTCCCCTGCGCGACGCAAAACCAATTCACGAACCGTGTTAATGTTGTTTTTTTTATTTTTTATCAGCGCGCCGGAGGCGGCCCTGCTGGTGACGCTCGCGCGCCTCGTGGCAAAAGCAAGTTCCCTCCTGGGGTTCGATTCCCGCTTCGGCCGAGTTTGTGCGTTCTCCCCCCCCCCCCCCCCCCCCCCCCCCCCCGGTATGCGTCGGTTTATTAATTCGGGGTTCTGCCGTTTCCGGCGCGATGAACCCCGGCGACCTGAAGTCGGATTCCTGCACCGTGGCCAACACGAGGCGCGAGCGATATCTAAAGACGGCCCGAGCTTGCCCTTACCCCACTCCACCAACCTCACCGCCTGACCAGCGTGGCGAAGTATAGTCAAACAACCCGCATGTCCTGCATGACCCGCATGGCATGAGGAGGCCATCAAATCGGTTTGGATTGACAAAAGGCTGTAAGTTAGATTAATGATATGTTGTGACAGACCGATGTACAAAATATTGGCTCATGGCTTGTGCGTGAATGCGACGGGGATATCTTTTGTGTAAAGAATTCCGTTATTAACAGAATAATGTATTCAGCCTGTGTGCAAGAAAATAACATGGTCAGGATAGGATTGAAGCCCTAAGCTTGACATCTCATTATGTATGAAAATGGTACGTTCTCACCAAGCCAAATAAAACATATTTAATTTATTAAAATGAGTATACTATATACAACATCTATATAGTGCATATATGTGTATATAAATGACGCCGCGTGCTTTTATATGTAATTCCAGTGCCTCGGTTTCCTCTCATCAAAAAGACATCGAGCCATAGTGCATGCACAGCGAGAAGAGTCCCCAAAGACGACGGGACGTGTTACAGCCACGCAAGATTATTTCCCTGCCACAAAATTAAACAAATTATTCGGCAATACTGCATTGGCAGTGGTGCACGAGCACAAATAGCATAAAAAAATGTACATTCATGGGGTGCTATGAAATAAGGGCCCATTGCAAGAAATGTCACCCATTCGATATTTGTTTGATATTTTAAGGCCACCGTGTTATTGACGAATGCGTAGATTTTTTGTTGTTATTTTATGCCTTTGATTAAAACTACCGTTACGGTTGTGTGTGCGTGCCACAGTGAAGCTCAGAGGTATTTCTACGTTGGCACTTTTGAAAATATCAACAAAATATTAAATAGGCAAAAGGGCAATAGTTGTTTGCTAAATAACGCGGCCCATTCCCATTTTTTCATAAAAACCGCTCGGGTGCCCTGTGTTCTCGACTGCTCCGGCGCTTAGCCACATCTCAACCAATAAGCCAACACGGCTATCAAGCGCACGATGAACGAGGCCTTGCTGCGTCGTGCCAACGGAGATTAAAGAAGACTCGCGCGCTACGCCAGACGACAAAACTACGATGCTAAACGTTAGCACCGACGCACCGGTCGCTGACGCAAATGATCAAACGAGCAGCTGTCTTTCCCTTCTGTGGAGTTCATTAAAATTTTGTTGCAAAAACGCGGCAGTCGGCGGAGTCGAGGCTATTTTCGCCTTCGCACCTCGAAGCGGGCGAGACTCGAGGGGATTGTGGAGATTTTAGCCAAACTCTTAGATCCAGCAGAAGAAGGGAAAGGCACGCGAGAGGCGTTGGGGCACGCGAGAGGCTTAGAGCTTCGACCTCTAAGCTACAACAAATGGGGACACACATCACGGGAAGAAGAATATCTTGCAGTACCGGAAGTGGGGAGAACTACACCCAAATACATCGTCTTCAGTGGAATATTATGATTAATAATGATACTAATTATTACATTTCGATTTAAAGCTTTCGTGACTGCAGGGATTCATCTTCTTGGTTCTTTCGGTAAAGTCACGTAGAAGGGAAGTAATAAAATAATAAAAATAAAACATAATAAAATAATTCTCACGACGTTTCGGCCACAACGCAAGCAGCCGTCCTCAGGTGAAGAACAGGTCTGTCGGAAAGACAGCAGAGGACGGCTGCTTGCGTTGTGGCCGAAACGTCGTGAGAATTATTTTATTATGTTTTATTTTTATTATTTTATTATTTCCCTTCTACGTGACTTTACCGGAAGAACCAAGAAGATAATTATTATAGTTATGCATCTTGAAGAAACTGGGGCTCATAACTTCCCGGGAAGAGCTATAGATGCAACGGGACAGCATCCGGCCCACAGTCCAGCGTGGGGTGGTTTGTGCAGAGGATGTGTTGCCGTGTAATCGGGTTTGTGCATGGGAGCTCACACGAGAGAATTCGCAACTCGAATTCGGAGGTGCTCAGAGCTCCCGGGCTTACGTGCCACAAAAGTGCTCGGGCGTCTTATCTTTGCAAGGCTCCTACGGCTTACATTTGTCCTCGCTGATGTCACTGAATGACAGATCTCAAGTTTCCAAAGAGCCGGCTGTCAAGATTTGTAAAAAAAAAAATGAAATGAAATGTTGAATTAAAAACATTTGTTCCACCTACAGTTTTCAGCCCCTTTATTATCGAGCCTCTCTGCTGGAATGATGCTCCCCACCCCATGCCCTTTCCCCGCACCTCCCATATTGTTTGATCAAACTTTAACCGTGCTTGATCACTTGTGGTCGGGTGCAGGAAGGGCAAACTGATGTTAACCGTGGCTGGGAATTTCATTGTACTCTTCTTGCACGTGGAAATATATTCAGAAGCCAAATGCCAATATCGAGGTCTGCTGGCCACGAGAGGGCTTCGGGAGAGAGGGAATTCGTGTAGTTTTTTCTATTCCTCCACTCTTGAAGGAGCTCCTTTAACGGCAATTGAACGGAGGCCGTTAGAATCATAGGCCAAGTGTGCAAGCCATACGGGTTTTTACCGCTTCTCCTCCGATAATAAAATAATGTATAGAATTATAGGAATGGCACATGACATGTACCGCGTCTCGAGAGGTGGCAAAGACGAGCTCTTGTGAGTGACTCACTCGCGGGATGAAAGACTTAATTCAACTTCTTGGTTCTTTCGGTAAAGTCACGTAGAAGGGAAATAATAACATAATAAAAAGACGCTGTCTTTCTGACAGACATGTTCTTCACCTGAGGACGGCTGCTAGCGTTGTGGCCGAAACGTCGCGAGAATTTTTTTATTATGTTTTATTTTTATTATTTTATTATTTCCCTTCTACGTGACTTTACCGAAAGAACCAAGAAGATGAATCCCTGCAGTCACGAAAGCTTTAAATCGAGACTTAATTCAAGCCGTTCAAAAAATAAGCGGGCCTTGGGCAGGACGCATCACTAAATGGGATGATGGACAATGGTCAAGATGAGTCATGGAGTAGCGGCCAAGGAATGAAAGAGGGTGTCCACAGAGGAGACGGAGCATTGAAATCAGCTCGTGGATCGTCGCAACGCAGAGCCATGAGAGATGGCGACGACTTGGGAGGGCTTCATCCAGCAGTGGATTGATCATGGCTGATGACGACGATGACTTGCTTAACACAGACACGCAAAAGTCTATCGACAATAATTCCTTCTTTAAGGGTTTATAATGAAAAATATAAATATAGAAATGAGAATTCAAAGCCATCTCTGATCGCCTACCAATCACGGTGGAGCCAAGCTTTGCGAACGCGAGGCAAGGGATAATCGGACATTAAAGCATGCAAATAGTGTACGGCCTGCTGTTCCACGCTAACTGACTACCATCATCCTCTCACTGGGCAGCCGGGCACTAAATACGCCGCTTCCCGTGAGTGAAAATATTCAGCCACTTGTGAAATAAGCGGTAATGAGCGCAATATTCCCCCCACTGTGCAACAAAACATGAAGGGGAGACGACGTAGAATAATAAAAAAACGCAGATTATAACGCAGTATTTACGACGCGGATGCACTGTAAACTTAGAGCGGGAAAATAAAGATTTACCCAACGACCCTCGTTAATTTATTTCTGGTTATAACTCGATGTTCTTTCAAATTTTCAAGGCACAATAAAACTTGGAAACGCGAGACCCCCCCCCCCTCGGCCGCCCCCCTCCCAGCTGCGATAAAACTTTCGTGATGTCTTCTTTTTTTTTAGTTTAGAAATTTGTGCGGTGCAAAACAACCCCACGAGCAATACGTTTCTACAATGTACACCAAGCGTCGGCTTTGCGAGCCAATAAAATGGAATATATCCCGGGGAGAAATTGCAGGCATCGTAAATATTTGTACCGTCCCGTTTCCAATGCTGAGCGAGCAGTGATGCCAGTGGTTCTCTGCCACTGCGCTATGAACCTGGCGACCTGAGGCTTCATTTCCGGCCATGGCTGTATGTAGAACTTCTTTCGCACCGCACATAGCCAACCGTGCTAATCCGAGGTGTTGTGTTGGGACGCAACAATGGATCGGAATGGGGAGGATGGGAAGAATCGGAAATGCGGAGGGCAGATGCAGCAGTACAAGATCTAGAGAGTAAGAGGATTGAGACTGAAGGAGGCAGTAGCGCTCGCTGGCTAAATCAAGAGTACCAGGTTGGATATTACTTCGGCTCCATCGTTGCTAATGAGCTGAAGGGACAGATGATGATGATGATGATTAATGCAAATTAATGGCAAGATGCGTCTCAGCCACAGTGTGGCTGCAATCCCAGCAACATACGTTGTCCCATTTGGAATTGACCAAATATATACAACACAAGAACTTTAGAAAAAAAAATACACAGATAAACACAAGGATTGCAGGGTTATAAATACACAGTATTTGTTTCTCTTTCATTCCCTGCGCTGCTTCCCGCGTTGAGGATAGAAATTGTTCCCTGGGCTGTTGTGGATTTGTCAAATTGCCAAAGCCCACGTGTTAATTTGATTTCAAAAGTAACCGGAAGAAAATTTAAAAATATATATATAATACTCGAGGCAAACTTATATCATTTTTATGGCTTTTCCAGAACTGGACTCTGTGGCTGCACTGCGAATATATGAAGACACGTGGTACTTGCGCAATAATAAAGACACACACACATACACATGCATTACAGCTCTGAGTCAATCCACT